TTCTTTCTTTTTCCCTTCCCTCCCTCTTTCTTTCTCTTTCTTTCCTTCTTTCTTTCTTGTTCTCCTCCTCCTTCCTCCCTGCCTGCCTTTCCCCCTACCTCATCCTTTCTTTTTCTTCTTTCTTTTTCTTGCTTTCTCCTTCCTTCCTTCCATCCTTCCTTCCTCCTTCCCTTTCTCCCTCCCGCCTCCCGCCTCCTCCTCCTCCTCCTCCTTTCCTCTTTCTTCTTTCTTTCTCCTTTCTTCTTCCAGATTTCTCAAGAGTCCACGTTTTTTGTTTTAAAACTCTGAAAATGGAGTCCACCCTGCCGATCTTGTATACAGATATTTCTTTTCGCTGTGTAAATAAAAATCTATGGTTTTGTTTGTGTGTGTTTTTGTTGAAAAGCTGCTTGGATAAACCTTTGGTTCAGCAGCCTGGATCCCAAAAGGAACGTTTCAAAAACCAACTTAAAGGTAAAAGCTACATTTAAAAAGAGAGAGAGAGAGAGAGAGAACCTGCTTGCAGAATCTGTCTTACCGCCTGGCCCTTCCTGAAAGTATCTCTCACCTCCAGGTTAACCTCCCAAATGTTTGGGCTAAACGGGGGCACCTTGGACCTCCCAAGGTCTCTAATGATTGATCTCTACTTCAATCTGGAGAGACATGAACTTCCTGCTTGAGCCCATAAGCTACAGCAGGCCAAATCTTCATGGGGCCCCCTGCAAATCCCACCAAAGTTTATGCTCTTTTGCAAAGAACAAGAGCACTAACGCTGGGAACTCCCTGAGGGTAAAACCCCTGAGTTTGTTGATCCATTTTTATAAGTCTGAGCAGAATTCCCAGTGCTCTCTCCATCTTACCTCTACGGGGAATCTGCAGGGATCGGAAAGGAAGGTTGATGGTTACGGTGGTTCCACCAAGCCCAGTTGCATCTTTCAGCAAAAACAAGTTTGCAAATTGATTTTATTTTTTGTTAGGTTCCCCACCGCTTGAGACGTGTTTGCAGGGGGTCTCCAAACTCGGTAGCTTTCCTGGCTGAGGAATTCTGGGAGTTGAAGTCCACAAGTCTTAAAAGTGGTCAAGTTGGGAGATTTAAGGGATAACAACAGTTCAGCCCGGGAATTCGCACTTTCCTCAACAGAGTTGCTTCTCTCCGTTTCTCTGGTCTGCACTGCTTTTTTGGGCATGGCTGCAGATTTTGTGACTTGGCATCAAGGCCAGAGGTGGGAAGCTGCCGGTTCACACCGGTTCAACCAAACCGGTAGCTAAGATTCTGTGCAGTTTGGCTAACCAGCAAATCCCACCACCGGCTGGCCCCGCTCCTGTTCATTATTCGGCCTGTTTTATGGCCTGTTTTCAGCCCAAAAATGGACTGAAAATCCCCTGAAAAACGGCCTGAAAACAGCCGAAAAACAGCCCGAAAGCAGCCCCAAAACAGTCCAAAAAACCAGCCTGAAACTGGCCAACAACAGCCAAAAAAACCCACCCAAAAACAGCCTGAAACCAGCCAAAAACAGCCCCCAAACAGCCTGAAACCAGCCAACAACAGCCCAAAAAAAACAGCTCAAAAATAGCATGAAACCAGCCAAAAACCGCCTGAAAAATGGGCGGGACCAGCCAGTGGTTAGATTAGCCCCAACTGGCTGACTCCTATCTCTGCCTTTGAAGCAATTGGCTGGGAGGTGAGGCTGGGTGTGATGAGTGATGTTACCCATCCAGTCACATGACCAACCAGCCACGCCTACCCAGCCAGAGAACCGGTTGTTAAAAAATTGGCAGCCCACCACTATTTCCAAGGTCAACACAAAGACACGCACACGCACACACACACACACACACACACACACCTGTCCTTCAAGCCAATAGCAAGGAAAGGATTTGATCTGTTTACCCAAAGTCACTCAAAGACAACAGAACGGAAAGGCTACTGGAGTTAAAAGGAGAGAATGGCCGGCGTGGTTCGTCAGTGAAGGAGGGTAGATTCCTCGACTTACAACCACCATTCAACCCCATCATTTCTGTTGCTAAGCGAGTCATGGGTTCAGCGCGTTTCGCTGCCATTCTTAAAGGGAATCCCTGCGGTGGTTAAGTTAGGGAGACGGCGGTTTGAAATCCGCCCACTTGGCTTCCCAGACGGGGAATCATGTGGCACTGTGACCGTTGTAAATACGAGTCGGTTGCCCAGCGTCTGAATATTGATCACGTGGCGGTGAAGATACTGCAATGGTCGTGTGAAAAAACATACTCCCCTTGTTTCAGTGCCGTGGTCACTTTGGTCAGTGAACAAATTGTTGTACGTCGAAGAATATCCCCCCTGATCGTGAGATAGAAGGTGGGGTGGGCCGACCCTTCCTGGAAAGCAAACCCCAATTTCTTTGGGTCCCCTGTTGCAAACACACACACACGTTCCACTGCTCAGCTCCCAGCTGTGCATCATGGGCTCAGCTCCACTTTCCATCCGGCTTTCTGGGGTCCATCTCTCCCCCGCCCTTGCAGCCCCTCCCTTCTCCCCCTACACACACACACACACACACACACACACACACACACACACGGCCCTCTGCTTCCAACTCCAGCAGCCCAGAGGCCCTTATGAGAACCAGATGCTGCCCCCCCCCTCAGAAAAGATAGCCAGGAATGAAGGGCACTTTCCCCACTTCCCCTCCCTCTCTCCCTTCCCAGTTTAGGGGGAGGGGGGAGGCTGGCTGGGCGGCCTCTTCCTCCCTCCCGCGCCCTTCATTTGGGAGCAGTCCCAGTTCGGCTGCAGTTATTTTAAGGGTGGGCTTGGATGGGTTATCTTATCTCCTCTTTCTCCCTCTCCTCCTCCTCCTCCTCCTCCTCCTCCTGTCTGCAAATCACACTCCCTCCTAGCACTGATGATGTTATCTAGTTGGGTCATGAAACATCTGAAAACAAACAACCAAGTTCTGGGAGCATCCAGGACCCCACAGTCCTCCTCCTCCTCCTCCTCCTCCTCTTCTTCTTCCTCCTCCTCCTCTTCTTCTTCCTCCTCCTCCTCTTCTTCCTCCTCCTCTTCCTCCTCTTCTTCCTCCTCCTCCTCCTCCTCCTCCCTTTGCTGCTCTTCTCCCCCATCTTCTCCTCCTTCCTTTCCACTCCAAGGAGAAAACCCCGAACTCCAAACTCCGATCAGCCACTCGGGCAGGGGGCCAGCAACGAACCTCTTCGGGGGATTTTGCCCCACCCAGTCCGGCCTGACCAAGGGCTCAGATCTGGCACCAGCCAAGGTGGGGAGGGGGGCACTTCTTCTTTCATGAACCCACCTATCCAGCCGAGCCCTTCGGGGGTGGAAAGCCAGACCGACCGAAATCTGAGCTGGAGGAAGCGAGAGGGGAGGGAAAGCTTGTCGGCAGGCCGGGGGTTTTTGGCTCTCCACCGTGCTGACTTGAACCTGGCATGGGGACAGGGCCTCTCCTAATCTTTTCCAGATGGGAGACAAAAGACACACCACCCCCTCCCCTGTTTCCTTTTCTCCTGTCTTACTCCACGGCCCAAGGGGGCTTCCTCTCCCCAAACAGCAATCGCTTCATATTAGGAGGGTTTGCAAAGGCAGCACGAGACGGGCCGGGAGAACGCACGAAGCGGAGAAGGCCATATAAAGCCATCCCACCCACCCACCCGCAGCCGAAGCCATAAAACAGGCTCTCCTTTGCAAAAACAGTGTGTGTGTGTGTGTGTCTGTCTGTCTGTCTATCTGCTGGATAGATGAGACTCTGGAAAGAGGGCAGAGAAGAGCGACCAGGAGGACGAGAGGACTGGAGGCTAAAACCTACGAAGAACAACGGTTGCAGGAACTGGGCCTGGCTGGTCTAGGGAAGAGAAGGACCAGGGAAGACAGGAGAGCAGCCTTCCAATATGTGAAAGGAGAGGGAGAGAAAGGAAAGGAAAGAAAAAGAAGAAGAGGAAGGAAGGAAGGAAGGAGAGAAAAAAAGAGAAAGAAAGAAAGAAAGAAAGAAAGAAAGAAAGAAAGAAAGAAAGAAAGAAAGAAAGAGGGAGAGAAAGTGAGAGAACAAGGAAGGAAAGGAGGAAGGAGGAAGGAGAGAAAGAAAGAAAGAAAGAAAGAAAGAAAGAAAGAAAGAAAGAAAGAAAAAGAAAGAAAGAAAAAGAAAGAAAGAAAAGAAAGAAAGAAAGAAGAAAGAAAGAAAGAAAAAAAGAAAGAAAGAGAGAGAGAGAGAAAGAGAGAAAGAGAGGGAGAGAGAGCAAGGGAGAGTGACTGGAGGCTAAAACATACGAGGAACAGTTGCAGGAACTGGGCCTGGCTGATCTAGGGAAGAGAAGGCACAAGAGCAGCCTTCCAATATTTGAAGGGAGAGGGAGAGAAAGGAAAGGAAAGAGAAAGAGAAAGAGAAAGGAAGGAAGGAGAGAAAGAAAAAAGAGGGAGAGAAAAAGGAAGGAAGGAAGGAAGGAGAGAAAGAAAGAAAGGGAGAGAAAGAGGGGGAAAGAGAACAAGAGAGAGTGACTGGAGGCTGAAACCTATGATGAACGGTTGCAGGAACTGGGCCTGGCTAGTCTAGGGAAGAGAAGGACCAGGGGAGACAGGAGAGCAGCCTTCCAATATTTGAGGGCAGGGGGGTTGGACTAGATGATCTACCAGGTCCCTTCCAACTCTGTTAATCTGACTTTAATCTGATTTTAATGAACAAATGGACCAGTGGAGACAGGAGAGCAGTCTTCCAATATTTGAGGGGCT